TTCAATCGGATTTGCCTCAAGATGATAAGTGTTATTTATGATCGCGCGGCGTTTGCACAAAGATATCACTTTTGTTTTTAAAGGATTAAGAAATAACTTATTTTGTTTACACCACTGTGCTATATTAGACACATCATGTTGTATCAGATCACAATCTAAATGACAGTGAACACTCTTAAACAACTTGATATCGTCAGCAAATAAAAGCAGTTCAACGTTCTTTACACATGACGCTATATCATTTATAAAAATTGAAAACAGTAGAGGACCCAAAATTGAACCCTGGGGCACGCCTGATATTGAAAAAAACTCTTTGGAATAACTGTCAGCGACCCGAACACTATTTGATCGAAGAGACAAATAACTCTTAAACCAGTTACACAATTCTGTACAGACACCATACAGATGCAACTTGGACAAAAGCAACACGTGACTCACTTTATCGAAGGCTTTTGACAAATCAAAGTATATTGCATCTACTTGTTCTCTGTTTAGAACAAACGGCACACAGTAATCTAAAAAGGTACACAAATTTGTTCCCACAGACCTGCCCTTTAAAAAACCGTGCTGCAAGGGCGTTATTTTTTGACGGAAATAAAAAGTCATCCTGCTATGCACAACAATCTCAAAAACCTTGGAAAAAGCACAAAGCAGAGAAACTGGACGGTAGTTCGCAACTGCAGATGCGTCACCGCCTTTTAAGATAGGAAAACAACTGCTTTTTTCCAGAGCGAAGGGAAAACGCCTGAACTGAGTGACATATTAAAAATGTGCTTCAAAATAGGAATGAACAGCTGACCGCAACCTTTGATAACAAAACCTGGTACACCATCTACACCAGAAGAAAGCTTCGGTTTTAACTTTCTTATCGCCTCGGCAATATCAAGAGAGTCCACTCTTATAGAACTCAAAAATCGTGACAAATCAGCTCCTTATCCTCCGGTAGAACGGATTGCTGATTGTCAGAGAAACATTTGGCAAAATAATCAGCGAAAACATCTGCAACTTCATGAGGTGATGAAACATAACCCGGGGCGTTATCTGAACAGGCACGTAAGCAGATGATAGGACTAACGTCACGTGTATGTTGCTTCGTGAACTTCCAGAAAGTCTTCGGGCGGCGAAACAAGCTATTTTCTACGCTGTCAAGATGCATGCGTTTATCGCGCTTGAACAGTTTCTTCGCCAAGGCCCTAAATAAACTGAATTTGGTGTACATAAGTGAAGAGCCGCATTTTTTATAAAGACGGTGGAAATGTTCTTTCTTGACCAAATAACATTTTAAATCCCTGGAAAACCATTCAGGATATTTGGATGGCTTTGTTGAACGCTTCGGTACAAGAGTGTCGATGGCATGTTTTACAATTGTCGTTAGAGTCTCGGTAGCACGATCGACATCAGACATGGCAAGAACGTTAGACCAGTCGAAAGTTTCAATAAATTTATACAAGCCAAGGTAATCTCCTTTTAAAAACTGTAAGCTAATGACTTTGACGATATCCGCGACTTCCACGGAAGAGATAACTGGACTATTAAAGGTGGATGAAACTTATCAACTTGTGCCAAAGGATAGGAAGCCAGACATAAGCTTAGAATGTGGACATTTGAAAGAACGAGATCTAAGATATTACCTGCGCAATTCGATATTGAATTTAATTGTTCTAGACCACTCAAGTTAATAAAAGACAACAAAGAAAAGGCCTTTCTAGCTGTTAGCGTATTATTGTTTAAAGCTTGCAATGACCACTCTACACCCGGAAGATTAAAATCTCCGTATATCTGAACACGAAACTTGTCAAAATCGATCTGCTTTTCGAGAGATTCAAAATGTTCAATAAAAGTGGTTTCATCAAATAACGGGGGAAAATAGTACGTTCCTATCAGGTAATTAAATCCGTCACTTGCCTTAATCTCGATCCAAACACATTCTGAATAAGTTTCAAGATCAAACAGCCTATGCGATGCCACGGAAACTTTAGTTGCAATTAAAACGCCCCCTCCCATCGTTTGCCCCGTACACAAGTAGTCTCTATCCCTCCGATAGACCGTGTAGCTGGGGTTAAAGTAACTAGAGACTGATATACCATCACAAAGCCATGTTTCAGTAATACATATAATATCATGACTTGAATTAGTTGAATTGTACAAAAACTCGTCAGCCTTAGTCCTCAGGCCTCGTACATTTTGGTAAAACACGCTAAGTTTGTGCGTCATGAACGTTTTCTACTCCGTCATCAGTATGAACACGAGACTTGTCCAGTCGACCAAAGAACTGATGAAAAATGCTAACATCAGGCCACACCTCGGATTTGTTAATTGCGTCGAAAACTGACTCCTCACCCGAGATGTGAAACGAAGAGTATGTGTCAAATCGTGTAAACATTTTGAACACAGGACCTGCCTCCCCGCTACAAGAGGTTCGATAAGTGCAAGAACATCGTCCACGCTCGTATCCGGATTTAGCCTAGATACAAAAAGTGCCAAACGACGATTCTTCCGAGGGACAGCGGTCACCTTACTTGGTTTAGCCGTTCCAGCTGACGGCTTGGTTCGCCGCCGGGGCCCCACCGTTGTGTAGCCGTCGTCCACAGCGTCCTTCTCACCCGCAGCTCTCGCACCCTTTGAGGGACTCGATTCCAAGCCAGCCCCACCCAGATTCGTCCCTGGAACTGCGTTGAGAAGCGAATCTGCAGCTCGAGGTCTCAACACTGACGTTGGTGCAGCAGGCGGCAGCGCTGCGACGGACGCGTACATGGTTGATAAAGAAGACGGAAGAGGCATTCGTTCATGGACACTTTTACGGAGATGAAGCACTTCGGAGCGAAGGCTGTTGTTGCCCGCCCTAAGGCACTTGAGTTCTGCCGGAACGATGTCCAATTTGCTTGACAGGCTTTCGATGAGGCGTAGCAGAGCGGGCGGAACGGAGCCGTCATCGGGCGTCACATTCGATGGTTCGACGAACGCCACAGGAGCGGGAACCACACCTCCGATACCAGCAGCGGCGTCATTCCTCGGTGACGCACTACTCCTTCGGGTGCAGCCCGAGCACTTGAAAGCGCTCGTGCCACTCTTCATGTAGAAATTGTACTCTTCATGGGTGACGTTCAAGCACTTACAATGAAAACGGCGATTGCAACCTGCCGAGCAGACAAGAAACTGCTGCTTCGCGTAGAAGCGAGCCTCGCACGAGCCACATACGTCTTTTTGCGGAGCGCAGGCGGACACGTCCTTCCCGTCCTGCGACATTCCGCAGAAATGACGGATAGCTCGAGAGAGATGAAACCTCAAGCATTCTTTGACGCATACATTAATTTGAAAGCTTTCTAATGTATATCTTTATTTATGTCGCGAAATATTGGGCCTAAATATAGTTCGGTTATAATTATAGTTCTAATGAGTGATACGTTTTATGGGAATATGTTCAACTATAGTAGATATCAGCTTGACGCTGCGCGTGAAGAAGCCTGAGCATTTTACAGTGACGTTTCTTCAATACGAACATCTCCGTTCTCCCAAAAATTGTACATAATGTGACTTGTTCAGAATAACGAGACAAAAAAATGCAAGTATAGACGCAGTTTGTCCTTGAAAGTGCCGTTCATATAGCGGTGTATTTACGTTAACTGAGTTTATTTTGAAGGGACACACTCTATTACCCCATTGAAAGAGAAAAATAACCCATACAACCCATATCCCAGTTTATCATAAGAAAGAACCATATATCACATAATATCCCGCTTAAAGAAAAACACAGAAGTCAATTTATGTCCGGTTGTGATTGCCTAACATAGTTTGCCTCTGAGAGGGCACATTGATTAAATTTGTTTATAAATTTATCTTCAATACTTTTACGATTTCCGAACTTTCATTTTAATGGATGTGGCGCACCGGAGCCGACAACATTATGCATTTTCTACGTTTATCACGTACAAACAAGCATGGGAACTTGTTTAGAGTCACTTAAACTTCTGACGTGTACAAATTAAATAACTCGCTATTCTTTTTTATGCGCGTCCTTCATATGGTATTATGGGATATCGGTCGTATGTATACATATATTTTCCTCGATAAGGAACCGCTCCGTAGCCGGTGGAATTGCAGCAATAAAGATAAGAACGGCGAGGAACGAATTGCGAAGAGACAAGCGTGAACGCACTAAGCCAACAAAACGTTCTTTTGAGCTGGTTGGTTCATGTCTGCGTAGAAGCGACGAAGGACAGGGACCAAGTGAAGGAGGCAACGCTCCATGTTGTGGTTACCTCCTTCACTTTGTCACTGTCCTTCGCCGCTTCTGTCCAGTAACTAAGCAAAGCCCTCCTTTTTTTTTCTTTTGAAGCCGTCAGTGACCACATCATTCGAGTCACTGCTAGGGTAAGGAACGCAGGGCCTTCTTTATTTACATGTTTTTTTTGTTTTTTAATAATTCGTTCGTTTTTTGTATTGGTATGGTGCCTGGAGCGCCTCTCCGACTAGTGTGTTTAGCGTCCTATCCCACCCATACATCAGAAGTGCTCCCGAAGCGGCATCAAGTTACGTCATCAAAGCCAAAGTGTCACGCTGTCGGATGTCGCAATCCTAGCGTTTGACCGTAGAAATTCTGCCGCAAATCACGATCGAACGCGAGTGTCGCCCTCGTAGCAGCTTCCCAACTTCTGCATGGTTGCCGAAACTTCCGCGGGCTGCCAAACTGAAGAGTGACCTGCAGCAGAACAGTCGTCTGCCACATCCACCAACCTTGTTGGGACGCCGCCAGGATCGGGACCATCAACAGCGCGACACTTCTATGACGTCATCAGTCGGAAATCGAGGACCACCTTTTTTTTGGACGCGGTAAACGCACCAGTCAAAGACGCGTTCCAGGCGCCATAGTATCGGCTAATGTCACAGTCTGATTAACTGCAGAGCGATCATACGATGCCGGGAATGCGACGCGCACAGCGTCTCTTGTGTCTCGCGGCAACATTGTTGCCTCGAATAAGGCTGTATGCGTGCGTACGCAGGACTCCCGACATGTCCCGGTGTCTGGGACGGAATCCTATGCTGGCAACCAGCTCCTGCAGGGACCATGGCCCAGGTCAACTGCCCGCACTACGTCTACGGCTTCGACAAACGAGGTGCGTTTCTACAGCTACCGGGTGTGTAAGAGAAAATGAAAGCGTATTTTTGGGGCCCTTATAAATAAAGCACGTGTTGTAAAACAAAGCTTAAACTCCGTGAGAATGTAACCCTGCCGACGGTGATAAAATTGAACATTTCCACAACATAACATGTTCTGGATCAAATTTTAAAACAGATCAAAAGAATATCTCCACGAACTGATGTTCTCCAACTAAGGTTAAATTTTGTCAAACCCAGAAATTGTAATGTGGGCGCCCGCAGCATTTAATTCAGTGGAGTAATGAACTTGGTAAAAAATAAAATATTAAATTACTTGTTATGTGTGTTTTTTCGTCGGAATAAATACAACAGGCACCAACGATGTCCCTTCTTGATTTGGGGAATACTAGGCTAAGAGAGCGTCACTTGATTAAAGAAGTATATATATATATATATATCCCTACCAAAAAAACGGTTTAAGAATAAACCGGAATGAATCCGGAATTTTTAACTGTCATATGGGCCCCTAAGCAAACCGGATTTCTAGAAACCGTAAATGAACCGGAAATACCCAGTCCAGAAACCCAACCGTAATTGGTCGAAGCGGAAGCTGAACCGTATCCGGCCAATCCGTAGAGCTTCACCGGAGTGGGTCTAACCGTATATTAAACCGTATCAGGTAACACCTGAATATAATAGTAGTTTAATAGAGTGACACACCTACTGTTTCACCTTCCGATGTACTGCAGCTGATGCTACAAGCCATCCCTTACAAAAATATCATATCTAGACTTATAATGAAAATACAGATATGGATATATAAGGAATGGGGCAGATATGACCACATATGCATAATCAGGCCGTATATGGATAGATATAGCCATATCTGCCCAATTCCTTATATACCATATATAGACTGCTTTATATGATCCCGTGTTTGGGCCTGGCAAATGGGGTACCCACCTCATATAAAGCAATTTTCATGTGATGCTCCTTCTAGAATCACATTAAAATTATTGCCATGGGGCAGGTACCATACTTTCAGGTCCAGACATGGGATCATATAATGCATTTCTATGAATATCCACAAAATATACATTTTACTGCTATCCCACACTGCCAAACGTGTGTTTACGTAGATACATCGGCAGAATAGGCCACTGACCAATCTTTAGTGGCTTGGTTCGAAATTTGTAATTCCGACAAATATGTATGCTACAAAAATCAAATGCAGGCGATCGCTAGTTAGCAAACATTGTAACATATCATTTGACGTCTGAAAGTCACAGCCCTTTGGCGGGATTGGTTGTCGAGGGAGCAGACAGATATGGTTTGCAAAAAAAGTTTTATACATAAAAGCGCCAAAATTCCAAACAAACACTTCCGCCGTTCAAGAAAAAATAATAGTAATATGACACGAGCAACCATTAAAATAAACTAAAAATGTAATAGCACACAGACTCCTATTAAAATAAAACAAAAAGAAGGCGACAATTAAGCTGCAAACTATACGAAAGTTCCAAAGTCGTTGATCCTTACTCACAGGGTAAAGTTCTGATTCAACTCTCCGCTCGAGCACAGCAGTTTTGACATGGGCTTGCTTGCTAGCCTCGTCGTTGAAGTCCTTCCTTGCACCATGCGATGTTCAAAGTCCCCCAGTCACTCCTCGCTGGCCTTGTTTTTCCGTTCAGTCCTGAAATCGTCCCTTGTGACCAACACGTCGCACACACACACACACACGCACAGACACCATTGTTCGCCGGAAGCAATACAAGATGAAAAGTTCATTACTGCTCCTTGAACACGACGAGGTCACCACTGTTTCCCGGACTGGAAAATGACGAGGGCATCATATTTTTAACATAAACTTAATAAAATAAAAAAATAAATAAATGAACACATAAGTAACAGAAACCCGGACTAAATCATAAGAAAAAATGAAATAACGAACACACAAATAAAAAAAGAGTAAAAACACAAAGGACTTACACAGAAAGCCACATTTGTTCAATTAAAAATGACGTTTAAGCCTGATATAAAATATTGCTGCTGCGCTAACCATAACCAATATGGTATGTAAACTATGCGACTTTGAGCAATGCAGGAATATTTGTGATCATAATCAAATGTCATTGCGAACTCAAAACGTGTGGCTGCCTGCCTAGGTGCTTCATATTACTATTTTTCTGAATTCTGTGTTCATTACTGTGGCTGCTCAGGACCAGGCAGAACTTGGTGGTGCTTTTTCCATTCCGACTTTATTTCGGACAGCTTTGTACCCATAGAGAGATGCACTAGCTTCTCTACATAATCCCACGCACTAGCTTCTCTACATAATCCCACCCCTTCTCCTTGGAGATACCCTCCGTGTATGCTGTAATTGGAAGAAAAAAAAAACAATAATCAGCAGATATACACATTATTAGCTACATTGTTTTGTAATAATTTTTCTAAATAGGCCCCTGGCCTAGGACAACACAAGACCTTTTTTTGGGCGATGTAAAGTTTTGACACAAACAATTTGTTCCGCATTTTGCAGAACATACCCTGTAAAACCTTAAAGTGCACCATTACGATTTCGGCATACTTTACATCACCATTGTGCTTCCTATGTGCATGACATTTAAAAGCCAAATCCGCAAACACTTCACAATAATTGATGCGTATTAAGCAGTGTGCTTTATGTGGGGCCTTTAAGTGCAAAGCATCCAAAGTGCGCGTCCGTCTGCATTTGCTCAGTATACAGAAGAGGGGAGAATGCGGGCGGACTGCTGTTTTCACTCCTTGCAGCATATAGCTCAAGGATTCTCTAATTTTGCTTATACAGGACATTTCACCACACAGAACGTACAAACACAAGCTTGGAGATCGCACACGCAGTCTCAAAGAACGATTAAATCGCTCTTTTTTTTTTGCACCATAAAACGTTGTGTAATTATAATCATAACATCAATGGGAGTACAAAGGATTGCATTAAAGTTCCCAATGGGGTCTGTTTTATACCGCACAGCCACTGTCTATACACTAGTCAACTAGCTCTACACATACCGCTCAGCACACCACTGCTAGGCTGAATCAGATAAGTGTCACACATGCCGAGCTTGAAGTACAGTCGTGATCTATACAAAGGTGAACAAGCAATCGTCGACTGCTCAGTACTGGGAGCATCATCCAGCAGCTGACTTGCTCTCCTTTTCAAATGCTTTGCGAACCAAGTGTGGTAAGTCATCGGATAAGGAGAGAACGTCGCCACACACGGAACTGAGCCGTTGATACTCGCCTGTTTACCTTCATATGGATCAAGTCTCTGTCTGGCCGAAGTAGCCAGTGTGTGTGCAGCACAAACGGCTGTATTGAAATCTCAAAAGGATGAAAGTTCAGAACATGCTTGGTAAGGTTTCACATTGCAAGTATGCCCATGCAAATTTCACTTTCTAGAGCATAAAAATGCATTTCAAATTGTCACCCTAGACAAGCTGCTCTTACACAGCTGTATATATAAGGCAGCTTACCCATCAACAACTTTTGCACACTGCCATGGACTGAACCTCGGCTTGGTCGATGCTAGCTTCTGTTCGGCGAGGGCTGCACTGAGTAGAAAGGTGAAAAATTTGCCGTAGATTATGTGAAACAAACAAAAGCAATTCTAGCATGCACAATTCGCTAGAGGCACTGACAAATAAAAATCAGAGGTTGGGTCAACTATCTTAACGCAATATACTTCAAACGCGTACCATGAGTGCTGGCAAAATATTTGCTGCCTTCAATCTAGATAAGCTTGTAAATGTACATGCCAAATAACAAATAACTTAAAAGCTGAAATATATTTCGATGGAACTACAAAAACCGAAGACTAGCTCTGCAAATATGGTGCTGTCTAGTACACCATAGATGTGTAGAATCGGACTACAGCGTCCCCCTTACAAAGACTGAAGCAAAACATTTTTGTTTTTCCTCCGTTTCTTTCTTTTCTGTTCTTTGCTTCTTTCCTTGTATTTTGTGCTATTCTCCTTATCACACTCTGAAAAGTCAATCTAGACGTTGAAGAGAAGAACGAAGTAGTCGAATACACGAGAGTTGTAAGTTCAGCGCGTGTGCTTGTCTTCCTGAGTATCTGGTGTGGAAATGTTTTTCTGCGCTGTCACCATAGAATATGGTTCATCAACTCGCCCAAACATCCATTCTATCATTTCTGCAACATTAAAATGACTCTGAAAGTGCGAGCACCTACAGGGTGTATTCACGCAAGTCTTGAGTTGTAGGTACAGTGCCCTGGTTGTGTCCATGTGCGATATATGACCAAATACCACAAGGACTAACACTGCAAACTTCTCCGAAAACCAATGGGCGCGGCGGCGAGCGGTAAAAGTGGTGGTGTTCACCACTCTCGCCGTTTGTTTGTGTGTTGCTACTAACAAGTGCACCAATGGGAAGGCTTCAGCCATTATTGGGAACACTAAATAAACAAATACAAAATATAGATACAACAGAGCAATACTGGATGCAATTAGTGACGCACTTCTGTTGGGGTTCTGTGGATATTTTTTCAGCGTGTAGTTGGTGAGCCATTTCAAAGTTGCGATGAGTTGCTCGCTGTAGGTGAGCAATTTAGCCAGTGCAGTATGACTGCCAGCCTGGAATCTACAACCTGCACCACGCAATAGTGGTACGCATGCCAGTACGATGCTTTCTAGATCGAAATGGGCAGGGGTTCGGACTGAACCCAGGATCCCAGGGTTCTGCAGTGAAAGCTTTCGTTCCACGTGCTCCAAATGGTGTGCGCTTGCCCAGTCGGCCACCGACCCCCAACGCAAGGCAACGCAATGCACTTCTGTTGTAAACTCAGCATTCCGCTTACGAATGAAATGCGCAGTTTCCCTAAAGGCTTTCATTCCACGTGAGTGGCAACAGAATTGCTAGGGCCAGCCCATAAATGCAGTCTGTGTCAAAAACAATCCTAGCAGCAATAAGTTGCTATTATATTGCTAACCTTACCATGAACAGCCTTGACAGTCTT